CGGCTTCGGGTTTGCCAAAATCAGGCGTACCTTCTTGGGGGTCCCCATAACAAGAATTAGAATATCTCTGCCGCTGCTGCTGTTGCTGTTGCTGCTTCTGCTGCTGCTTCTGCTGCCGCTGCTACCGCTTGCTGCTGCCGCTCTCTGAGCTTGTCCACATAGATGGCGTGGACCTGTCAGAATTGAAGTGCCAGAACTTATCTTACAATTGGAGTTTTTCTGAATTAGTCAGGGGGGTTTAGGCTTTGTTTATTGTTGGGTTTGGGTTTCAGACGGGCAAACGTAGAGTACACTCAGTTTGGGGGGGCGATCTTAAATCCTAGGCCCAAAGCCCCGCATGTGTACCCAAAACCCCAAACTTGCGACCCCTATAAACTATAAACATGTATGATTAGGGAACTAAAGCCAGCACAGGCCCCTCCCAAAGCGCCCCCCGGAGGTACTACTGTAAACATCCGGGTTTTGGGCTTGGGCTTCTCTGGGTTTAGGGTTTAGGGACCCACGTTCGAAAACCTCTGGCTCAGAACCAAATACGTACAGTTTTTGATGGTATTAAAGGGTGTTTCTACGGACTTCCAATCGCTATCCAATTTATGGGTTCTAAATCCTGCAAGTTCCCACGACATTTCTCGCTTCAAAGCCCTCAAGTAATCCCATAAAGGGGACCCTTTTCCATCCCTGATAGCCTTTTAATACCCCTATCTGGAGAAATTCCCAGCTACATAGATTGTGGTGGCAAAGCTACGCCATAAGCACGTGTACATCTAGGGAAAAATTTACCCTTCTAGCTGCTCATATTGAAGGTTTCCACATCGCATGACTCTCTCGCAATACAAGGCTTTGCGTTGTCCAGAAAATTAGAACAAGGTCTTGGGGCATTATATGTGAGGCAGATATAAGCAGCTGATGAGACCCGATATTTGTAAGGATTCGGGCAAGGGAACCTTGGGCTACTCGGGTCACTGTAGCCAATAAAGGGCTAGGTTTAAATTTAGGTTTAGTTTGCTGGTGGTCCTATGGCTGTGTGTTTCCACCTTGGCCTTCTTCTTGGCTGCAGCAAGCCGTCCAGCGCTTTGCGTTGTAGCTTGGCTTTCACCAATGGGACAGCCACGGGCCTTTTTGCTATCCCCCCTATACAGGTACACATTCTTGACATTGGCATTGAGGAAGCAGTTCGGCTTTGCACATGTGACACAGCCGTCAACAATCCTGACGTCGTGCGCGTTGCTCGCATCTCCGGTGCTGCCCGACGCTGGTCTCTTTTTGGGCGTCCTTGCTGTAGAAGCGCTGCTGGGCTGGTAGGAAGCAAAGCACGGCAGCGGCACAGAGCTTGAAGATGGGCTGGTTGGCGGGCTAGGAAACGAAGGCAGCGGCACAGAACCTGAAATTACATTCTGGCATTTCAGTTTCTTGAGATTTCCATAAGGGCTTGTTGTTTTATCAATGAATTTGTTTCTCATGGACCTGAAACACACTTTCGACCATAGGCCTGAGGCAGGAGAAGAGGAAAAGCTTCGCAGCCGGTAGATGACAGCATCCGGGTCCAACCACAGCTCCCACGTGGAGTTGCTGAAATGGTAAAAGCAAGAGGCAGGCTGGCCAGCCAACAGCTCGCTAATCTTCAGGGTTTGCTTGCAAGGGTCCTGCCACCGCCACAGCCCGAGCTTCTGCACTTGACTGTCCAATACTTTCTCCTCAAGCGACCCCAGCACACACAAGGATGTTGCGACGCATGGCTGGGTCTGTCCAAGTCTCCCGACTCGGGCAGCTGCTTGTGCCTGTGATGTCAGTGTTTGTTAGGTTCTGAGGCAAATTTCAGCAGGCGTGCTGCCTCATAAAGCCAATGAAGCCCTGTAAAGCCTTGTATAATGCCTTTCAAGCCACGTAAGCCTCCTTATACAACCCTTCTAAAACCTAATAAGCCGGATGAGGCGTTCGGACATGCTACGTACAAAGCGATATGCCTTGGCAAGGAGTGTAAAGGAAACCACCCAGTCTGAGTACGAACAAACCGCGTCCTTTGCCCCTTCAAAATCTTCGGCTCCTGCAGGGAAACCCCCTAGATCCTTAACCCAACGCCTCAAACCCCAAGCAGCAATCCTTACCCCCTTAAGTAGATACAATATGGGGCATATGGGGTCTTATTATAATATACCAAAAGCCAGAAGCTAATCATTTAAAGAAACCAGCAGCCCCTCTAACCCGTCCAGCCCCTCTATAAAGCCTTGTTGGGTTCTATCCTTTTTTGGAACAATATAAGTATTTCGACAACGCGTTCCTGCCATATCGTACGTGACCACTTTCATCCAAGAAGCATCTGCGAACCATCGCACTGCTTCCCCGCGCCACTGCTCTGTGAGGGATTTGGGAGCAACAATCACTGTCCGGATTTCGAAAGCACGGAACATGAAAAATGCTGCTGCCAAAGCCTGTATGGTTTTCCCTAAACTCATCGAATCTGCGACGATGCACCCGCAAGGAGATTGCGAGCAAATATGCCGCAGGATGAAAGCAACACCATCCTGCTGATGCTGTTTCAGCTGCAGATCGAGGCCGAGCCCAAATTTCATCTTCCGGAGTCGCTCCACAACACGTTCATTGAAATAAGGCAAGCGCTCAGGCCTGACAGGTTTATCTCGGGTTCATTTAGCGTTGCGAAAATTGTCAGGGCGGTAATTAACCCCGTAATTGCTTAATTTAGATTTGCACGAATCGTGGCCTGGGTTCCTGAGAGCTTCCGGGCTG